TATTTCTTATATAATACAATGTGCCATTTCCAGTAGTCCAGCATAGACAGTGGGCATCTCCAGACCCTCGCAGCCTAACCCTTTCCCTGCCCTGCTGGTAGCCTTGGTCCCTTTGTCTTCCTGCCTATGCTGTTTGGTGTCATGGAGAGCCTGGCCTGCGTGGCTGAGAGCATAGTGACTTTGGCTGCTGAGGGCCCAGGCCACACACACCCTCCCCTCGAGCTGCCTCTTGGTCAGAGTGCTCAGCTCCTAGGTGGTCACTAGGTCTCCATGATAAGTGAAATTGGTGTTCTGTTTCTTCATGTTGTTCACCCCCCCCCCCTTTTTTTTTTTTCCCACATTTTAGGTCTTGTAAGCAAGATTTTTCCTGTTGAAAAATTGCTTGAAGAAGCCATTCAGTGTGCAGAAAAAATTGCCAGCAATTCCAAAATTATAACAGCCATGGCCAAAGAATCTGTGAATGCAGGTAGGAGTCTGCCCAAAAAAGCAAAGTGAGGAGGATTCCTAGGACTGCAGATAGGATTGAAAGCACTGAATAGCTGTAGCTTAGCCTGTCTGAGGTGGAAATGGTAGGATGCTCAGGATTATGATTTACTGGTAGAGTTCTGGTTTCTAAGTGTTCGTGATTTGGTTCAGGTGTTCTGAGTTTCCGTTTGTACTCAGGGCCAAGAAGTGAGCCACAGGGAAGCTGCCTAGTAGTGATAGGGACAGCACCAGGCAAGGCTAGAAGAGGCCAAGAAGGGAGTCCAAGGCGTCCGGCTTGTCCCTTGCTCCTGGGACCCGAGTTGAAGGGTTCCTTTCCTCAGCCCACGCTCTGGGAGTGTGAATGCTGTCCAGCCTGGGGACTAAGGCCACACAGACTGAGAGAATCTGTGTGAGTGTGGGAGCGTGCTCTGTGTTCCAGGCCCCACTCAACAACGACTCTGCATTGCTAAAGCTTTGTAAAAGAAAACTGAGGGCTGGGGAGATTGCTCAGTGGTCTAAGTGCCTGCCTGGCATGTGCACGGACATAAGTTCTATCCCCAGTACCACATGCTGTGCCAGCCACTGAAACCAGCCATTGTGGCACATGCCTGTAATCCCAGTGCTGGGGAGGCTGAGACAGGAGAATTATTATGAGTCCGAACTGCATAGCGAGACCCTGTACCAAATAAATGATTTAAGGGCCAACCAAATAGCTCAGCAGATCAAAGCACCTGCAAGCAGGCCCAGGGACCCAAATAGCTCAGCAGATCAAAGCACCTGCAAGCAGGCACAGGGACCCAGGGTTCAATCCCTGGGCCTGCCATGCTGTGCCGGCCCCACCCCCAGGGCACACTGAGAGGGCAATTGAGGCTGAGTATGCTGTAATCCCAGCTCTTGGGAGGCTGGAATCATTATGAGTCTGACCTAGTAATGAGACCTTGAACACCCTGTAGATCCTTCCCTAAAAAAAAAAAAAAAAAAAAAAAAAGGATTTAAAAAAAATAGTCTTCAGGTTTAATAAAGAAAAATGAAAGTAAAACTGTTCTGACCCGCCTCCTCAAGTACTTGAGTATTTATGTAGCAGTTTATTTCAGCATTTGAAATGAAATTGTGCTCCTCTTCAGTGCCTGGGGCAGAAGGGTGCAATCTAGGAATTCACACAGCCTTTCTGGACCTGGTTCCCCCTCCAGAGAAGGTGCTGGCTCTCTGGAGTTACTTGTTACCCCGTAAGAAGCACCACTATTGAAGAATGCACGTGTGTCGTGGCACCCACAGGGTAGCTGCCCAGGGTTTCGGCAGGGTCACAGTAGATTGCACCCGATACTCATCTCCATCAGGAGAGGCCCCTCCCTCTAGGTGTCAGTACAGCACATGCCTGTGTCCTGCACTGAAAAGAAAGGTAGGGCCAGTGAGATAGCTCAGCAGTCTAAAGCGCCTGCTTAGGGAAGCTTAGACAGGTGCAGGGGACCACAGTTTGATCCCTGGCACCACAGGCCCCACATGCCACACCAGCCCTGTCCTCAGGGGCTGCCCCCCCCAAAAAATGTGCAAAGGTATTTCCTGATGCCTGGTCATCATCATTTTCTGATTTAATCCTTAATTAATTATCAGTGCCTTTAATCCCATTGACCACCTCAGATCCTTACAACTGGACACATTTTGATGTGTGTTTCATCCATTTCCTCTGTCCTTTCTCTGGGGACCTGGGCCGCAGTTGGCAATTCGGGAGTCTTGGAAGAGCAGTTTGTTCTAGCAGCCACCTCAGCTGGACACGCACTGGCAAAAAGAGGCCGACTGGGGCTGGCCTCCCGGCACATCTGCGTGACACTATGTGGGCAGGCAAAGAGTGTCCCATCGCTGCGCAGGAGAGGGTCTCGTTCCTGCCAGCCAGCAGCATTGTCCGTGACTACAGGGTTTCTTTTTCAGCCTTTGAAATGACATTAACAGAAGGAAATAAATTGGAGAAGAAACTCTTCTATTCAACCTTTGCCACCGTGAGTAAACAATATTATGCTGAGAATCGAGTATGTTCTAGTTAAGGGGTTACTGGGAATATTCTTTACATTTTATCATTAAATGCCATTTCTTTTTGGTCCAAACTTTTACTTTCTCCTCTAGTTAGATCAGACTTGTTCTATCAGTGAGCTTTGGTTTAGCAAAAAAGTATATGTGGACATTAAAAGAATAAAAGTTTTACAGCCTGAGAGATAGCCCAGTGGCGTAAGTGTCCGCCTGGCAAGCGCAGGGTCCCAAGTTTGATCCCCGGTATCACCCCCCACACACACATACACAGAAGTTTTACTTAAGGGTGAGTTGCACCCTTAAGCAGTAACTCCTCAATGGACGCACTTGAGACCATAATGTTCGGTGAAATAATTAGACACACAAGTTTGAATATATGGTTCCTCTTGTATGAGAAACCCGAGCTGTGACTAAATAGGTAAATAAGCAAAATAAAGGCTACAATATAATAGGAAACAAGAATATAAATATTTTGCAGATGGGAGGAGAACTGAGATACAGGGAGAAGGAGGAGTGGGGGAGAGATGGAAAGAATTTAGATGTGTACATTTACCTATTCTCCACGACGAATGCAATCATTATATACTGCAATTGTGTACTAATACTTTTTTTTTTAAAGCTCCTTTCTTTAAAATGTAATTCAAAGCCAAGTGCAGTGACTGCACCTATATTCCCAGCATTTGGGGGGCTGAGACAACTTGAATGTAGGAATCCAATACCAGCCTGGACAGCAGTGAGATCTATCTCAAAAAAAAAAAGAGAAAGAGAAGGCGGGACAGAAGGACAGACTGATGGATGGGTAGACAGACAGATATTATTTTCCCTAACTTATTCCACTTACTTAGAATGTGGCTCAAGGGGGCCACGGAGATGGCTCAACGGAGTAAGCACTTCCCTGGCAAGCACTAGGGCCTGAGTTCAATCCCTGATTCTGCCAAAAAAAAAAAAAAAAAAAGAATGCGGCTTAAGGGCCAGTGAGATAGCTCAGCAGACTTAGCACCTGCTTAGGCAAGCACAGGGACTGGAGTTGGCTCCCCAGCACTAACATGCTGTGCTAGCCCCACCCCTGGGCACGCTGAGCTGGCAACCAAGTCCAGGCGTAATGGCTCACGCCTGTAATCCCAGTGCTGGGGAAGCTGAAAATAAGGATCACTGTGAGCCCAAGCTGCGAAGTGAGACCCTGTACCAAATCTGTAGAATGTGGCTCAAAAGTATTATAATAGTAAGCTCTTTATAGCAGTCTGTTGTAAGATTTCTGCCAATAACACATTCGTGTGTTCTGCTGCCATGCAATTTGCACCACTGGTGGTGCACGTGTGGCTGTCCCGTGTATGACTGTACCCCTTCGAGCACCAGCGGTACAAGCCGCTTGATGGGAGAGTCACACACGTGCCACTGGTGGGAGGAATGTGTTAGAGGAAATGATTTCCCAGTTGCCATTAGAAGTCACTTCTTTTGCTGAGAGTCGTGTGTAGGCATTTTATAAAAGAAAGGTTAAAATGCTTTTAACTTTTTAAGAAGTGAGGATGTGTGCACTTCGATGTACACATCTGTGTATGTGGACATGAAGGAAGAGGGCCGATGCAGGGCAGCGTTCTGACCCTTTCCATTCCGTGGGGGTGATGCCTGACCTGACCTGTGTTAGATCTAGTTGAAAAGCGTAGCCCAGAAGTATGCCTCCAAGGCTTTCTTTATGTGGGAGTTTATTGACATTCATGTAGTGGTTTCTGAGTGACCTCATCTAGGGAGAAGGTGTAAAACCTTCATTCGCAGGCCCAGGATTGCCGTTGGTCAGAAATCCCATCCTTGGGGCGGGGAGTTGGCTCAGTAGAATAAGCACTTTCCTGGCAAGCGCAAAGGCCTGAGTTCAATCCCGGTTCCACAAAAAAAGAAAAGAAAAGAAAGAAATCCCATCCTTCCAAGGCCGTACATGGTTCTGTAGAATCCCCTGCCCTGAACCACGTGAGCAAGGAGAGCTCCTGAGAGAGAGAACAGAGCCACCCTAAAGACAAGTGGGCGGAGCTCAGCGGGAAGACCCAAACCTCACCTCTGCCTTTCTCCCTTCTCCTCTCAGGACGACCGGAGAGAAGGGATGACTGCGTTTGTTGAGAAAAGGAAGGCCAACTTCCAAGACCACTGAGAACCCGCGCCCTGCGCCAGAACCTGGGCCTTACTCCTCTACTGAGAGGAAAAAGCAGCTTGTCAGTGTAGAAGCAGATCAATCGTCTCCTTTCAAGGGGTTAGTAGTGTAGGTGAGCTGGGGTTGCTTGCTGGTGGCCGTGGGACTGTGGCCCGAGCTGGGGCTCTGCTGCCCCGCTGGCCTTCACTTGTCCGTCGGGAGAGTCAAGCACATTGCTTTCAGACCAGAACACATTCTTTGAGATCAAAAGTTCTGCTCAGGAGCCTTCAGAGTGTTGAATTTTTTACTTCACTTCAGGAACTGAGCTGCGAGATTGCCCTGTTGTGCCGAGATCGAGTCCAGAAGGACTGAGGTGACTGTCCACCTTGTCATGGGGTGTGTGGCTGCTCAGGGAAAGATGTTCCTGTCTATTGATTTGAACAGAATAATGCTGATTAAAGTAACTACTTCAAGTTAGTTGTGCTTTACTTTTAAAGGGCTAATACCCTATGTATTGGTTAAGGGGTTTTTTTGTGATAATGTTCAATTAAAACTGAGGTTGGCAAAGTAAACTATACCCATGTCATGTCCCCAGGGTAATTAACCTCTGTGGTTAGCTGGGCTTGCACCCCTTCAAGGCTTTCTGTGCCCAGGCTGGCATCCATGTGGGGTGTGGTGCTTTGTGTCATACATGGATGCTGTGCTCACTCTCACACAGTCCTCCACCCGCAAGTCTCCCCTCATCATCTTACTCTGTCACATGAGTGCTTCTTACTCTTTTTTTTTTTTTTTTTTTTTTTTTTTTGGTGGAACCAGGGATTGAACTCAGGCCCTTGCACTTGCCGGGGAAGCGCTTATTCCACTGAGCCAATCTCCCCTGCCCCTATTTTTTTTTTCCTTCGGGTTGATTGTTGGTTTTAGTTGGTTGGCTATATAGTCCAGGGAGACCCTGAACTTACTATGTAGCCCAGGCTGGCCTCGAACTCAAGGTGATCCCCCACTCAGCCTCCCACGTGCAGGGGTCACAGCGTGTGCTGCCACACCTCGTGCTTCTTTGTTTTCATTCTAGCAGCTTCTCAGTTGTGACTACAGCATCATGCGGACTCCCCTGCCTTTACCATCTGAGGTCTAATCATGCAGTTCAGTGCCTTGAGCACATGCAGCCTGTGTAACCATCGCCACAGCCCTTCTACAGAACTTCGTCTTTCTAAGCTGAAACTGTCCCCATGAAACGCTGGCTCGAGGTTCCTGGCACCCACCATTCTGTGTTTCTACTGATGGCACTTCTGGATGCCTTATGCAAATAGAGCCACAATGTCAGTTATTTTCCTTTTTGTGTCTGGGTTACTTCACTTAGCACAATGCAGCGAAGTAGACATTTGTACCGCCCTCCATCTCTGTTGAAATCCTAACCCCCTGATGATGGTGTTAGGAGTTGGAACTGCACAAATAGGGTTATGGCTTAGGCCCAAGAGAGTATTTCATCCCTTTTCCCAGCATGCAGCTCTGGTAACGTGTCACAAATGAACCAAGAATTTGGTCCTCCACAGACCATGAATCTGCCTTGATTTAAGTTTCCAGACTAAAGAACTATGAGAAATAAACAAGCTACCCAGTTCATGGCATGGCTACAGCACAAGCTACAACACTATCCTATGGGTCCATCCATGTCATATGTGTCAGAATTTCACTTCTTTTGACTACTCAATGAATCTTCCTACTTGCATTCTTTCTTATAACCCTGACGTGCTGTGAATGTGTCACATCTACTGCTGTGGTGATGGGCACTGACTTGAGTCAGGGTCTTGCAGTGTTGCCCAGGCTGGTCTCAAACTTAGAATCAAGTGATCCTCCTGCCTCTGACTCTTGAGTAGCTGGGGCTGCGTGTGCACACCACCATGCCTGAAGAGGTGATCAATGTTTACAGAATCTGGTTTCTCAGAATCATGATGGACAGCCCAGCATTTCAGGTGAACATGTCTGCAGCCTCCAGAACTATCTACAGAGCTCACCTGAGTGCCTGACTGCTCACTCACCCTAGTAGCAGGGAGACAGGGCCCTTCTCCAAGGTGAGACGAGAGGTCTCTAAGGTCAGTGAGGGGGCTGCTTGAATCTGAAAGCTGGAGTATTTGCTTAAAATACACGTTCTCGGGTAGGCATGGTGACATAGCCCTGTAATGTTGGCACTCTTAATAGTCTGAAGCAGGAAGATTACAAGCTTATACCCAACCCGCATGACTTAGCATGATCCTGTCCCAATTTTTTATCTTTGTCTTTTTTAAAGGTGAGGAGTTGCTGGGAATGTAGCTTAATGGAAAAACCCAAGTCCAATCTTCTACTGGCAAAAAAAAAAAACTTAAGAGTTAAGCCAAAACCTAAGGGAGGTCCTGGAATCCTTATTCCCCACTGCATCTAATGGTAACTGAAACAGAAAGTCAAGGTAGAAAATGCCACATTAGAAACAAAAGACAGTAATTGTCATGCTCAATCTTGATGTCATTTACTATGTGAGGTTTAGAGCACAATACAGAAGTTGTACAAAAGCCACCTGAAGGAGTATGTTCTTAGTGTGGGTACTTTGGCAGCTTTGGTTTCTAGGAGGGCTGCCCATGTCTTTGGATTGCTGTGCAGCCTGAGGCACCCAAAAGGACTCAGGGAGACATGGTTCCCCTGTGACTCTTGTTAGAAGAAATCATCACCACATTATTCCCAGAACACCAAGTTCTTAATTTGAAACGCCTGTTCTTCCAGTATTGGTGAGGAAGCTGACAAAAACTTGAAGTCTGTGAGATCTCCCACATCCTAGGGCCTAGGGGTCTCACAAGGGAAGAAGAGGTGCTTCCTGCCTCTGATCAGAGGCTCCCACGCCTCACCACAGCCTTAGAATCACTGAGGCTGAGAGGTCTGGATTTCCACAGGAGGATACCAGTGCTGTGCCAATTTTGTGGGCTAGAGCTGCTGCAAGCCCCCAACCTAGACCCTGTCAGGGGACTCGGCTTTGTCAGCTCCCATCTAGGGCAGGGCTGTGCATGAGAGAAGAGGTTGAGGTCTAGGAATGCAAGGTAAGAGGTGCTCACTCTACAACTGAGCGTCAGGTGCCACCATACAGCCAATACAGTCCAGAAAACAGACCACAGTGTAGCCACCACGTGGTGACCGTGTTGGTCCCTCAGCCAGAAAACATGCTTGGCTTGTCCCAAGAGCTGGGCTTCAGCGCTGTCTTGTGGTGAAGCCCATTCACCCCAGCATGGACCAGTGTTCCATTACAGGTATCTCTTCCACCTGGCTGTACAGCTTGGTACAGGCTTTTAATCCAGATTGCAGTCATGGCCTTGGGCTGGCATAGACAAAGAGTATGATAGTCCTTGGCCTGCAGGACCTGAGATGGACAAGGAAAGGCTAAGGTGGGCCAAAGATGGACTAAGAACTGAGCTGCCCTTTGCAGGCTATGGCTCTGCATCTCAGAGCGCATGCTCATTTACAGAGCAAGATGGGCTCCCAGGTACTGCTGGGGCCGTGTGACCAGGAGCTGGAGGTGGGAAGGCAGAGGAAGTGATGGGTTCTGCTAACTCACCTGTCAGCCAATCCTGACTTCTCAGGCAGTCCCCCGTCATACAGCAGGCAGGTGACCTCTGGATTTTGGACTGTTTGGCACACACTTATTTACAAAGTAAGTATGAAAAGAATTTGATCTGGGCCCAACAGCGTGGACTGGCTCTCCCCCAGCCAGGGAACCAGAATAGCTAGCTGGGCCTTCTTGGGAGCACCAGAGGTGGATATGCTCATTGCTAAAGCTGAATACATTCCCTGATAGGTGAGACAATTGGCCTCTGGAATAAACAAAGCCACCAAAGTTCTCAGTATACAAGAGGAAACCTTAAAATTCAGAAAAATCAGGGTTAGCCAAATAGCTCAGCGGATTAAAAGTGCCTGCAAGCAAACTCAGCAGTCGGGATTCGATCCCCAGGCCTGCCGAGCCAGTCCCGCCCCAGGGGCGTGGTGAAATGGCAATTGAGACTGGGCGTGGTGGTGAGAACCTGTAACCCCAGCTCTTGGGAGGCAATTTCCAGGCGGATCACTACGAATCTGAACTAGTAATGAGCCCCTGAACACCCTGTAGACCCTTCCCTAAAATACAAAAGAAAAATCTATTCATCCAATTTTTTTCATGCAATGACACTCTTCCTCCATTACTTGGAGCAATGGCTCCGCCCTCCCGTTTGTCCCGCCCCTGTCCCTCCTTCCCAGAGGTCCTGCTCTGACTGCAGACATGGTCGTACTGAAGGGCGTCCCAGAGCTGCTGTCCCCAGAGTTGCTGTATACGTTGGCGCGCATGGGGCATGGAGACGAGATAGGTAAGCCGTACTCGATGCAGGCTGGGAGACACCAGATTTTCTCAGAAAGGGACTGGGGCACTGCCGCGGCCACCCCACCCTTGTGAGCAGGAAGCCCCAACCCTGCTTCCGCAGCGAGCTGGCAACGGTAGGCAGCTCCCACTGCGAAGTTCTCAGGTCCACCCAGGTGGTCACGAGGCAGCAGCTGCCTTGGCCTGGTGCAGGTGTACCCGGGCGGGTCTCACCCCATCCCCCTCCCCTCCAGCCTCGGTGTCCGGTGCTAACAGAGCAGGATTCCTCCTTCAGCCCCGGCCTACCCTCTCCCCATTCTTCCCTCGAGGGCCCGCCCCTCAGGTCAGCCGCTGAGGCTGGGGAGTCTGTTACTACCCCTCCTTCTGACAGTCACCCTCCCTGTCTGCCTTTCCACTTGGGCCGACGCTCAAGAAAACCACGGAGATGACCCAGGGTCTGGACGCACTGACCATGGAGGGAGGGTGGACTGGTTGATCCCGGGGTAGGGTGCGGCCTCCAGGGCCACAGCAGCGCCTTCCCACTGCCTCTTCAGTTCTTGCAGACGCCAACTTCCCCACTTCCTCCATCTGTCGGTGTGGGCCTGAGGAGATCCGGGCGGATGGTAAGGGGAGTGGGAACAGGAGTGGGGTCTGAGGAGAGGTAAGAAGGGGGCGGAATAGGGCTAAGGGTGGGGTTCTTTTTTTTTTTTTTTTTTTTTTTTGTGGTACCGGGAATTGAACTCAGGAACCTGGGTTCTTCTTACCAAGGCCAAAAAGTGAAAGTTATGGAGGGCAGGGGGTGCCACTGGGGAGGGCTGGGGTCTCAGCCCAGCTTTATCACCCCCAGGCCTGCGCATCCCACAGCTCTTACAGGCTGTATTGCAGCTGCTGCCCCTGGACACCTATGTGGAGAGCCCGGTGAGGGCCAAAAGGCTGCTCTACTGCTCTGTGTCTCAGTTTCCCCTTCGCAGGACTTCACCAGGCCAGCTGCCTCAGAGTGGGGGGAGGCCACGGGCCCCAAAGGGGCCCTGACCCTACCAGAGGACTCTTGAGTGGTCACTAGGCAGGGGAATGCTGGCAGTGCTCAGGGCTGTAGAGCTGTCTCCTGTATCTCAGGCTACTGTCATGGAGCTGGTGCCCGACGACAAGGAGAAAGGCCTGGAGACCCCAGTGTGGAAACATTATGAGATGCTCCTGTTGCATGCTGGCTGCAAGGTGAGCCCATAGCCCTGCCTAGGGGAGGAGCCAGGGACCCTGCCTTCGGGAGGCTTGGGAAGAGTGACAGATATGGGGGGTGTCCCACACCATTCTCCGATGGCCTTCACTTCTAGCTGTGGGAGCACTCAGGACCCCCAGCTGCCCCCATTAGCAGAGCAGAAGCAGTATACCTAGGCTGCCTTCCTGAACCTCTAAGCTCCCCACGCCCCTCAGAGGACCTTGATGCCTGGGGTTCTGTCCCCATGGAGCCAAGTGTCCACAGGCTGCCTGGCCACCCCTTCTGGCCTCCCATGCATGTGCCCCTGGGTCCCAGGTCTTCCTCTCCCACCTCATCCTGGCTGGGTATCACCCAGCTCTCACCCTAGTCTGGCAGGAGGCATGCCAATTCTCCTGGGGAGCTTACTAGTTCTCAAGTCTTGGGCAGGACCTACTGGGAGGGAACAGATCAGGAACTCCCATCCTGGCCACGGGACCCCTAGGGGCCAGTTTTGGGGAATGGCAGTGTTTGCCAAGATGGCTGAGCAGCCCCAGGCCAGGAGGCACCAAGCATAGCACCTAGTCCAGCCCAGGTGCCAGGTGTGATCTGAGAGACACGCCGTGTCCATACTGCCCATTCCTAGGAGTTATAGGCTAAAGCCCTTGGGACCCCTGCACTAGGAGAGCCACAGAAGTGGGGCCCAGGAGCCTGGTGCCCTTGCCTCCTGCTCAGGCACTCAGAGCCTACTCTTGAGCATTTCTGGGCAGAGATCTTTCAGCCATGCCATTTTGTCTTCTAGAGTGCCCTGGCAAAGATGGAGAGATTTGAGTTTTACGAACGAGCCAAAAAGGCTTTTGCTGTTGTTGCGACTGGGTGAGTGCCAGCTGGGTCTGCTGGCTCAGGCGTGCCCCTGTCCCAAGCCTCTGGGAGGGCTCCAGGTGCACTTTCTACTGAGCTCCTGCCTAGTTGAGACTTAAATGGCAGGAGGAATTGGGCAGGCAGGTCCCTGTTTGCCTTGCCCAAGGCAGCTGTTCTCTGGAATCTATTTCTGACAGGTAGGATAGAAGCATGTGGGGCCTGCGGTGTCCCCAAGAGAGCACCTTGGCCCTCTGCTCAGCTCTGACTTCTCCTTCTGCAGGGAGAAGGCACTCTATGGAAACATCATCCTCAAGAAGGGCACAATTGCTCTTGGCTCCCAGTTTGGGGCCTGGTGGAGACAATTCTGAGCGGAAAAGAATTGAGAGTGCCACAGGCCTACCTCCAGCAGCCTCCAGACCTGGGCCTCAGACAGGCTCTCAAGAGGCCAGTAGGTTTTGGGGGACCCTGCCAACTGAGACTGAGAGTCCCCTGAGTTTTGAAATGATGGAAAAATACAGTCACTATGAATCTTCAGTCTAAAGACTTCTCCCTCCCAGATTTGTTTGGGACTGGGCTCAGGGAGGCTAGTGGCTTTTTAGGGAGTAGGCACCACCCACCCTGATGAAGGCCCAGATGGGAAGTCTTTGTGGTAAATGAGGCCTGGGGCTGGGCGCAATGCACAGCAGAGAGACCAGAGGTGGAGGCAGCTGCTGCCTGGCAGCTCAAGGAGAATGGGGACTTCTGCAAAATCGCTCAGGATTCAGACACAAGGTGGCGCCTGATCAGGGCCACACCCTCTGCCTCAAACAGGACTGCCATGAGAGCTGGCCTCACACTTCAGGAGGAAAAACCTACAGAGGTGGAGTGGAGGAGGGTGCACCTGGTGCCAGTGAGGATGGTGTCTGCAGCCCTGGTACAGGCCTAGGGAGGCTTGGGTGTGGGCGGGGCCTGTGTTCAATAAACGGAGCACCCAGTCCATGCACCCGAGGAGCTAGCCACTTGGTCCCCAGGGATGCAACCAGATGGCACCTGCCTGCTTCCTGCTTGAATCCATGGTTGTCCTAAGGGGTAAAGGACATTCAGCCACGTAGCACCCAGTGCTAGACAGAAGGGCGGCAAGATACAGTGGTGGCCTGACAGGGGTTGGTGACTAGAGTGTTAGTGATTAACCCCAGAAATGGTTGGATTGGGTCTCAAGCCCCTGTTCAGACCACAGGTACTCCCCCTAGGCCATTGGTGGCAAATCTATGGCACACATGCCACAGCGGGCCACACGCAGCAATTCAGTGGCACAAAAGCCAAGTCACCCCAGCCTCTAAGCACTGATACAGTTGGTTTTTTTCCTAACTAAAACCTCCATGTTCAGTTTTAATTAATTGCAGTGTTGAGACTCTTTGTGGTAACAAGTGGGTTTGAGGTTGCTGTTTGGGCACCTGGACTCTTAAGAGGTTCGCCATCACTGTCCTGGCCCCTCCCCCTCTCTCTACTCTTCTTTCAGCTGCATGGGTGTAGGAAGAAGACAAAGACAGAGGGTGGCAGCTGCTTTGTCTGGGAGCCCTCTCAGGACACCCAGACCTGTACTCCAGGATCACAAGGAGCAGGGGGTCAGGAAAGCCACCTGGGCAGGGACTTGGGGTTAGGCGTGAGGAAGGGACCATGCCTAAGCCTGGCCACAGACCTTGGTGACTGTCCCATCTGTTCTCTGCCATGGCCCCTGTCCACTAGTCACTTCACATAAGCATTGTCACCTAGCAACAGCCAGAAAGCAAAGTGGCCACTGCCTTAGTGACTAGTTACCAGCTGGTGTGGGAGATCTGTATGCAGAAGTGGGGAGGCAATTGAAGGCCACACCTTTCAGTACCCTCCCTGCTTCCATGGGGCATGAAGAAGCCAGGGCTCTTTTTGTTTCTTTTTTTTTTTTTTTTTTGCGGAAGCGGGGATTGAACTCAGGCCCTGCGCTTGCCAGAGAAGCCCTTACTCCACTGAGCCATCTCCCCAGCCCCCAGGGCTCTTTTTGATTGAGAGACTTCCCTAGAGCTGTTGTTTCTGGGCCTCCAGTGGCAAGGCTGGGTCAATCTGTACGTCCCTCTCGGTGGTCTGCTCACCAGGGTGGCCAATTCCTGAGTCCCTCCCTCTCCTGGACACATCCAGCTATGCTCTTCAGGAGCTGGAGGAAATACTGACTGGCTCAAACAAGGTTAGAAAGAGGTGTGACTACAAACTAACTCACCTTGGCCAGTCCCCTCCTTAGGGCCCAGCAGAAGCTAGACTCTTGGAGCCTCAGAGATCCACAAGTTCCCCACTTGCCAGGGAGCTAGGGAAGGGGGTCAACATGGCACAGCCTGAATATCCAGCCTGGGTCTGATTTTCTCAGGGTCAGTGAGCACTGGTGGCTGGCCACCTGTGTCTGAGTTGCTCTGGTTGTGGCCCTTGGCCATTTCTGACCTAATATAAGAGTAACTTGGTTGTGGAGTGCTTTGAACTTCTTGTGCCCCAGGGATGCAGGGCCTCCTGAGACCTGGACAGGATTCTGTAGCCTCTGCTGACTGTCCCCTGATCTTGATTTTGAGCTGCCCACACCCTGCCCTGGTTCGTACCAGGATGTCAAGTGAGATGCACTGAGGTGAAGCTGGACCTCCTCTACTCCTATCAGGGAAGAACCTTGAAGGTCACTGTTTTGGCCTTGATGAGCTCATCCATAATGGGCTATGGACTCACCAATAACATGGGGACCTGGCTCCTGCTTTGTTGGGCTTGGAGACAGGAATGTATACACATGAGCCACGCATGTCCTTGGGAGAGTAGGGAATCCTTGGGGGACACTGAGTTCTAGGGGATGTAAGGTCACCTGGACAAGCCCTCAGCAACTGCATGCCATCAGGAACATCAGGACCAAGAGTCAGCAGTTTCTCCCAGCAGCTGTCTTGGCCACGGGAGCTGGTGGACTTGTGTGGCTCAGGCTAGAGGGATTGGTCCTAGGTACTTCTCATTGCTGGGCATGGCTACCAGCTGCCCCACTATGTACACAGTGTGTTAGGTAACTCAAGTGGCCTGTGCCTGTGCTTAAGCATTGGGCTTACTGTGGGAGGCTATGCAGGAGGACTGGTACTCCATGCAGAGCTGGATGACTGCCCACAAAACTAGGACAAAATGTTTGTGTACTGGGCCTGTGTCGGGCCCATTCACTTGAGTCTGTGTGCCTATACCTGGCCAACTGAGCACACGGAGTGTACCTGCACACCGGTATACCCATGCACCTGTCTACCAGAGCACCTATCCACTTGAATGCCAATCATCTTAGCCTCCCTCCTGCCTCATGCTCTCTGTTTCCAGGATCCTTCTCTCCTTTCCCCAGGGAGCCCAGGGTGAGATCCATTCCGCTGCTGAGGTTGATCCTGGTGCTGCCTTTGGTACCCACCTCTGACTGCTGCCATGTGCTTCATTCCATCTGTACCTGGCGAAAGATGGTCCTGTGGGGTCGAATGTTCAGGAACTGAGGGTCAGCTGGGTCTTGTATGACTTGGGGTGGGGCTCTTATATGTGCCATACAAGAGACAGATAACAGCTTCTTCCTCCTAGACAGCAAACAGGTTGGACTCCAGGGTTGTTGGTCTTAAAGGATCAGGTGGCCTTCTACTTCTGTTTGCAGGTATTTATTTTTTCTAGCTAGGAAGGATTGGCAAGTCCCAACAGCCTGGGCCTCAAGGCAGCTGTATGAGGGTGTTCAGGGATTTATGACTACTCCACAGGGTGGTAGATGTGGTCTAGGTCCTCCTCTGGCCCTCGAAACACCTGGAGAGGCAGCATTGCCCGGGCAAAGGGCTCTTCCTGGACATGGATCTCCTCTGATACAGGATGGTACAGACTGTCAAAGTCAGACTCAGGACCCTGCTGGGGTCTCCGGAAAGGGCTCAGGATGTCTTCAGTCTCCACCCGGGCTTTGTCACCTGGGAAAGGCAAATGGAACCATAGCCTTAGTTTCCCTTACAAGACTCTCCATTCGCCCAGTTCCACTGGCCCATCCTCCAACTCCACCCCACGGGGCAGACTCCTCCTGCCGTGGCCTTGTTCCCAACCTGACCTGGCTTCTTGATGGCTGCAGGCTTTGGATTTGGCGCTTGGAACAGATCCACCAGCTGGCTGTCCCTCTCCAGAGGCTGCAAGGCATGGTTGTCCCAGGTCCTGCCCACACAACAGGGTCAGGTTCAGGTACAGCTGGGGAGAAGTACAACCCCCCGCCCCCAGGCAGCTGCGGGCCTGTGAAGCCACTTCAGTCCACTGCCTGTTAACCGCCCCAGGAGCTTTAGACAAGCACCTACCCAGGTGTCCCTGTTTCATCTCTGAGCCAGCAAGGGTGGGGAGTAGAAAGATACAAGCCTCCCAGAGTGAAGGAGGGCCGGGCGTAGAGGGGCACCCTTATAATCCCAGCTCTCAGGCCGAGGTAGGAGGATCACTGCAGGCTGAGGGCCAATCTGGGCAACCTAGTGAGTGCAAGGCCACCGTGAACTACAAAGCAAGACCCTGTCTCAAAAGGAAAGAAAATAGACCCTAGTGAGAGAAGGCAGAAACCACACAGGTCCAAGATGGAGACTTTCTAGGCCCTCAGGGAGCTAGATAGCAGAGGTGAGCAGAACTCCAGGGCCTCTGGCTCGTGGGCCTCGGCTTGCCACTGCTGGACGGAGGTCTGAGCATTGCCTTCTCCTGGAAGCAGCGGGACAGCACTCTTGATGTGCCCAGTGCACCCCGCGTCCGAGAAGAGCCCAGAAAGAACAGGCCGAGCTTTCAGGGGAACACAAGGGGATAAGCGGGGCACTTACTTTGTTTCCTGATCGGGGACTGAATGCTTGCCTTTGGTCTTGTCAGGTACCTGGAAGAGTGAGTCACCGGCGTGACCTTTGCCAGTCAGTGACCCAAGGTCACTCCTTTCCAAGGTCAAGGGACACCTGCTCTAAGGCTCAAGTGGGGCTACAGGCAGAGGCTGCCCTGCAGGTGACTTCAGGGACTACTGGGGCTTGCAGGCAGGGGAAGCAACGCCACTGATCTGCCCCAAATGACCAGCCCACTCTGATTGCTGGCCAGGCCTGGC